AGTACTCATGATAAATTTCTATAATACTTAATTTGATTTAGTCGACTATTTAACTTGATACGATGATTATAAAAAAACACTATTTTTTTCTAATAGCTAATATAATTCGAGTAATCAAAATTAAAATTTATCATTACAACTTATAATAGATAATAATTTATATATGTTAATAATTTAACCAATATAAATAAAAATCTTTTATATATTTGATCTAAATCAATTAATAAGTGAATCAAATATTGATGACTGATAATATTAAAAAATATCGTTTACCCTCAGAAAATTAAGTTTAATATCATTTTAAATTGGTCTCTAAATTTCTTAATGTTTCAATTTCATCCTAAAATATGACTATCATTTTAAATTAGTCCTCAAGCTTTTGAATGTTTTGATTTCATCCTCAAACTATAACCCTCTTTCTAAATTGATCCCCAAACTTTTTGAGCATTCTAATTTCATCCCAAATTATACGTATATACAAATCACATTCCTTGTTAATAAAATCGTTAATCAAGTTATATTGTTTTATGTTTGAAGAAAAACAAAATTTACTTTAAGTTACATATTTGAATGCATTTGGGGATGAAATTAGAACATTCTAAAGTTTAGGGACCAATTTAGAAAGAAGGTCATAGTTTAGGGATGAAAATAGAATGTTCAACATTTTAAGGACTGATTTAGAATGGGAGTCATACTTTATGGATTAAATTGAAACATATATAAGTTTAGAGATTAATTTAAAATGAGAGCCATAGTTTGGGGGCAATGATGCAATCAGCTCATTACTTTTAAATAAAGTACTCAAGTTAAGCCGAGATTGGGCCAAACCCAAGAAGGATTCATATGGGCTTTGATTCAGCAAATGGCAGTCCTTGAACCGATTGCATGATTAGTCGGTTCGATAAACTTTTATAATGATTAAAATATATTTTCAATAAAAGGAACTAAATATTAATTTTATAAAATTTAATCATAAATTGGAAACTCTTAGAAAATAAGACAAACCCTAAAAAGGAAAACGAATCCTTTCACAATTATTACAACAATTTATATTCACAAGTTTTCCTTAAATGGGGACTAAATCTGCTTAAAATCCAAAACACACCTACTATAATACCATTCATATACCTAGAAGGATATAAAAATTAATATTTTTTTGCATAATTTCAAACCTGTCCTAATTTTAAAGAGTGTTTTAGTCATTTCAAATTCATTTCAAATTTTAAAATAAGAATTTCTCTTTATCTCAATTTAGTCGAGTACGGTTTTTTAATTTTTATTTGAAAAGATAAAAGGGTAATTTAAATTATATATATAGTCAAATGACTTAAACAACTTTCATTTTTAATATAAGATGCTGAGTTTAGAACATAATAAATATTTAGATGATCATTTTGTAACTTTTAATTATCGAATAATTTAACAAAATAATATTCTATAATCGAAAGATAATTTTATAACTTTAATAATAATAAAATTTAATAAAAAATATCCTTTTGTTTGTTGGTGTTTTCTAGGTCTGGGTGTCATCACATTCTCTGCAACTTCGCCTCTCTTTTTTTTTTGCTGTATATGGCTGTCTAAGGTAACAACAACTCAACTAACTTGATATTTGTTGATTATTTTCCACGGCTTTTGGTGCCTCAATAGTTCAGTGTATTAAATCTAGGTATGACTGGTGTGATGTGGAAATAAGTAGATAAGTTGTGTTTGAGTTCATCTTCCCAAGCATGTCACTAACGTTTGCATGTTCATTTGTTTTTTGGTGCTATACAGCTATAGTGATTTACATGGCCTTTTTTGTCTGCTTCCATATAGTTCAGATTCACATAATTTTTTGATAATAACGCCGACTGATTTTATAGTGTATTTGCGAAGTTGTCTTGTTACTGTATTTCGTGGCATATGCGATGATTATCTTCAGTCTGCATGCTTTGTTAACATCTTGAAAATATGTACCAACGGTGATTAACAATACGAGTCTTTTGTCTATAAATCTTTTTTCTTACCATTGTCATCTTCTAAGCTTCAACCTATTGGTATATGGTTTACCTAATCATATTATATGCATGTTAGGCTATTGAAAGGCACTGTGGCTTCTTCAGGTAGTAGGAAAGTTTCCAGATCCTCTACATATTACCTTTGAAGTGTTTGTAGTGTAGTGTAGTGTACTTATATTGATTGGTGTAACTTTAACTGCTTCAATTCCGATAAATCTGTTTTTTCTACCGAGTATCATCTGTATCACTCTTTTTTTAACCATCCACTCGTGGTTGATGATTATGGGGGTTCAGCAAACTATTGAATAATAATGCTTCATGGTGGATCTCCTAAGTGAGGCGGGATTTGTTCATCATCTGTTGGAAAGTTTAGTGGTCGCATGAACATTGTTCACTCTGTATGTCTTTGTCAGAACCGGTCCGATCTTGAACCATACCTGATGAAATACTTTGATGATAAGACCATGGTCTTCATCAAATTTTAGTTTCAGATAACATGCCAAGAGTTTTCTAGTTCTGGTTGGCTGATCTATTTCTGCTACTGGAGTTTAGTTGTTAAATCTGAGTTAGGATCCATGGCACTCCAGATGTTGATGCTTTTCACCAGTTACCTTCAGAGTGTCCCTTTCAATCATGAATTTTCCTCACAGGCTTTAGTTCCATGGTGTGCTTTATTACAAAATTTTCTGCTTTTGGTCCACAACTGCCATGAGTGTGTAGAGTCAAGTTCATCATCTGAATTATACCAATCCTACTATCAGCACCATCTTCTCCAAATGACAGTCCCCAGAATGCATCAGCAGAACCATCAAACTTTGCCGAACGCACTGGTCTTCTATGAATGTTGGGCGAAGGTATATTCAATTTTTCATACCTATGGGTCATTTGGACATAGATAAATCTGTTGAATATATCTGGAGGGTTGTCAGAGGATCATATTTCCATATCCATATCTTGATACGAGTCGCTCCGATATGGATAATTCAGCCGGAGCAACATGCCCTGTTCCTTCAAATGAATAGAGAAGTTGGTAAAACACATAATTTTGGATTTGCAGAGTGTTGCAGGCAGATGGTATCGGAAAGTTTAGATTTTGCCATTCAGAGATAATAGCAACATGGAGACCTTGGGTTGAAGAAACATTTCCTGTTTCAATGGAACATAAATTGGTTGCAGATTTTTTGTCATTCAACCAAATATCGTTGACAGTTCAACTGATGTTGCAGGTGAAGAGTTGTTTTAGAAGGCGAGAATATTCAAATATTTTGTATTTTCCTGCTGACTGCCTGAGGAGGAGATAGCGGTCACATACTGATATAAATGACGGTAAAATAACTATAACCAATTCAATTGTGTACAAGTTATAATTAATGCTCATTTGAAACTTTGTTTCCTGTCTTGTTTTGAACAGAAAACCAAATTATTTTGTGGGTAAACTGCATAGTTAGTCACCAAACTTTAATTTCTGTATCAATTTAGTTATTATATTTTAGAAAGTTTCACTGTTACGTTATACTTTTGACATTGGTTGTTGTTACTAGACTGTTAAATCTTCAGTGATGTGATGATGTGAATTTTTTTTTACAAAATTTGTCACTCTGGTCGTCGTTGTTTGTCAATTGCAATTTGTTGTCAGTAGTAATTTCTAGAAAGTTTGATACTAAGATGTGTACATTTCACTCTTCTTATCAAAATATTTTTTTTCTGAAATTCGAAATCAATGAAAACTAATGAAAAGTTTGGTGTTTTAATATTTGGGTTCCATTGAAGATCATACGATGAGTCTAATTTTGAGACATATTATTCTTCTTGAAAAATATTTTTCAATGTTAGAATTTTTGAAAAAAATCCTAAATCTTTAACATAGAAAAATTATTGGTTGCTAGTTGTTTAATTTTATAAATTTTAATGAGATTTTTTTTAGAAAAAATCTAAATTGATAAAGCTGTAGAAGACGATAAGGCATTTTAGAATAGAAATTTCAAGTCCCGACTAGAAAAGGTTAAGAAAACCTATTTTAAAAAAAGATATGAAAAAGAAACGCTTTTTAACTTTCATGTTAGCATTAAACTGTCACACCATTTGATCGTTAATGATTTAATGGTCCAATGATAACAAAAAAAAAATCAATGTTGAAAGTTTAATGGTAAAAATGAAGCTTTTTAAGATTCAACGACCAACTTGAAATATAGATTAAAGTCTAGCGACTAACCTTATAGTTTATAATTAGTTCATTTTCAAGTGGGATAATAGTCCTACACTCATCAATGCGTATGTTCCCAGACCACAATAAATCTTTCCGTCCTTACAAGTATGCAATTATTAGGAAGAAGATACGTGTGGTCGCAGTTACGTTTGCTTTACAATCAACATATGCAGTAATGAATCTTCAAGCATCTTAAAATGCACAAATACAGCATTCAAGGTTGTTTCATGTGCTGTCTCGATTTCACTTCTAATGTTTCTAAATGAGTAGTTGATATCAAACAACTAGACCCCAAATATTTCAGTTTAACAAATTTTGTCTCGTATTTATGGATCGAGTCGAATTCGGGTCTATAAATAAATAGGATACCATTGCAGCTGAAGCAAAAGTAGCCATCATTCCACTTGTACGGATACCAATGGTTATCAAAAGAAGTTGGCAATGGTGCTTCTCCCATTCAATAAAAAATGGAAACGGCGTTGGTGAAGGCCATAACCCACTGAGCAAACACCATTACCATAATATCAGAGCAATGATGTATGATGACATGTATCAGCAATAGGAATCTAACCAAATAGTTTCCACTAAATCTTAACATCACTTTGATCTCCAGAAAGTTTTGAAATATTAACATGGGACAAGAAAATTCTAGATTCCAAGCAAAATGCAGCTGGTTTTAAGTGCTAAATTGTTCATGAACTTGTAACAGTCTTTTTCAGTATTATTGGATCCTTATGATCTAATTACAACACTGGATTTACATATATAAGATCAATGTAATTTAAACAGTACCCTTCTATGAACTCTTTTTCTTCTTCAATATCTGAAATTTCAATGAAAGAATCTGTAAAATGTATTTGCCAACAAAATGGGAACTAGTACAGGTGATTACAGTACTGAAATGGACAGAGGGACGGATACATCGCCGGGTAGACTTGAATTATTCATGGCTGAGTTGTCTGCAAATGCATATCCGACACCCAATCGTCCAAAATGTAGAGATGCATACTCGCACCTCTGGAACACTCTGGCAAGTGATGCAGCCTTCCTTCTTGCTCGCTTTGTACCGGTGAACAACAATGTCTGAAGCAATCCGGCTAAAGCGGGGGCCTTAAGAACTCTTTTAGTTGCAGCAGCCCCACCTGTGCGGCAAAACTCGAGCAATGCCGCGATGGCATTCTCTTTTCCTCTTGGTGTTCCGCATCTCATCATCGATATTAGCCCTGCTACTGCAGTTTCTTCCTTGCCCACCACTTCGGCCCCGATTGGCTGCCTGACGATTAAGGCCAATGCACCTGCTGCTTCCTCTGCCACCCCTTCATCTTCCAAAGCTCTTACCAGCGCTGTAACGGCTCCAGCTTCTATCATTCTCACACAATTTTCAGAGTGAGTCGCCAGATTAAATAAAGCAGTCACGGCATCCTTCTTTCCCCTTGGTGCCCCCACTCTCAACAACTCCGCTAAGGCCTCAACTGCCCCTCCTTGATCAGCTATTCTCTTCTTATAATCATGAACAGCGGAGAGGCTGAACAATGTTGCTGCAGCATTTTGCCTGGCTTCCGTTGTGAGCCCGAGCCTCAATACTTCAATGATCGATCCTAGACAACCATCCTCATCGATAATTCGACTTTTGTTCTTCTCATAAATGGATAAGTTCAGCATTGCAGTAACAGAATTCTCTTGAGCAACGGGGTTTGAGGATGACAGCAACTTTTGTAAGTGCGGTATCGCACCAGCCTCTGCAATAATAGCGCGGTTTTCCTTTCCTGTTTTAGCCAGCAAGCGAACTTCACGAGCAGCTACAGTCTGAGCTCCCTGAGATCCATTTGCTAGTTGTTGAATAAAAAGTGTTGCTGTAGCTCTATTGGCTTCAGTTGCTGCTTTGATCGGCAAAGCCGCAGCAAAAGTCTCAGCAGATGCATCTGTGCTCTCCGTGGGGTTGTAAGGAACACCATGAGCAGTACACCACTGCATGATCAAATTCCTCAAAGCCCGATTAGGAACAAGGCGATTATGGATGAGCGTTTGCCCTGTCTTCGGACAAGTACAATGCCCTTCCTCCATCCACCGAGCAATCGAACTCCGATCATAAGTCTGCCCTGTCGAAATTATCACAGGGTCTCTCATCAATTCCAACGATATAGGACAACAAAAGTCTTTCGGAATAGTTAAAAACGTATCGGCAATCTCCCGAGCAATCAACCCTTTTCTCGGTTTCTTCTTATTCCCAAATGGCAACTGCAACTCATCTTCCTCGAAACCGAATAGCAAAAACCTACAATATCGGGTAATCGCAACAAATCCATTAAGCACAGAAGCCGTAGGTTCGATATCTCCTTCGTGATTAACAATCTGCAACTCCAAAAACTCGATTTCGGACCTGCAACACTTGGCATCCTTAATCCCTAATCTCTCCACAAAGAACAACCTCAACTCGGCATGATTCGGTATCCTCCCATGCTCAAATTCATTGAGAAATGAATAGAACCTAAGCCTTAAATTCTCATCACTTTCATCGACATACAATTTTGCTTTCCTTGCCTGTTTCTGCAACAGCTCAACTTGTTCCCTAACATCATCACTCAAATTGATTTCTTTTATTGGAAAAACATCCAAAATGGTAGAAATCTCTTGGTTCAAGTCATGGAAATGGCCCGAAATCGAATGGTTTTGAAGCAATAGCCATAACTTACTGGATTGAGAGCAATAATCAAGCAGTATCTTGGACCTATAAATCAACAAATAAAGCTCCTTGAAGCACAATACGGCTGCTGATGGCAGATCCGACATGGACCCCGAACCCGAACCCCTCAAATACTCCAAAAGAAGAAGGAAAACTTCAAGCTTTCGAATCAGATATCGAGAATTTCTCCGCTGAAAGAAGAAAACATTGTTGGAATAGCAAGAAACGAGGTCGGACAACAGCGTTGCCAGCGTTTGAATAAGGGCTACTTCGGGTAAGTCAACGGGGGCCAAAAACGCCTCCAGGGACGGCGACCTTCTCCTCCTTAGAGATGAGAAAATAGCTGCCGATGCCATTGCTGATAACCCCAAAGCTGAATTTAAAAACAAATTGGATCTTCAACAAGCAAATGAAATGAAAAACAAAAAATAGCACACAAGATTCTCAGCCTTATCCTAGTCTTTGGGTCGTTGGTAGAATCTTCAAAGGATGTTTGTATATAGATGAAATAGCAAAAGATTTGGTTTTCAACAAACAAAAAAGATAGCTTTTTTATATAAATGAAAAATGGGGATTCTTTTTAAAGAGCGGAATCCGCGTTTCGCTTCTTCTTGTGTTTTTTCCTTCCCTGTGTAAGAATTTCAATGGAGTTGCTGGAAAAAAAAAAGAACGGTGTGGCTTTGACTGATGACAATCAATCTTTATCCACACTTTTGTCCATAGTACAGTATGAGAAAGAAGATAGCAATGGTATTTAAATGTGTAGATCTTTGATTACTTTAACCTTTTCCTGTTTGTTTGTAAAACTGGATATTGTTACAACGTAGAGGACGGCACTTTTTTAGGGTATTTAAGGGAGATGATGTCACTTTGTCTTGTTGGAGTTGTTTTAGATCCTTTGCCTCTTACTAGACTTTGGTTTTTACTGTGGTGTTGTTCGGCGGTATTTAGTAATTTTTCATGGTTTTGTTGAATATTATTTATTTCATAATATTATTTTTATTATTCACAAAATACAAACTGAGATTTTTTTTAAATGATATATCAAACTTCTTGAACATACATGACCTAACGAATGATGATAATGGACGTAAGATTTAATTCAATGCAAGGGTTGACCCTTAGGAAAAGCAAAGATCCAAGCGACTTTTAAGTGCGTGAAGTAGTCTGTAAATGAATTGAATGTTTAACGAATTGTTCATGAATCGTGCGATGAGAAGTTCATTTATGTTCGTTTATTTATTAAATAAACGAACATGAACATGATTTTACGTTCGTTTAATTAAATGAACGAACATGAACAAAAGGCTCGTTCGTTCATTTACGTTTGTGAACGTTCGATTATATGTTCGTTTATGTTCGTTCATTTATGTTCGAACAGAGAGCAAGTTGAATATGTTACGAAGATTATTGAAGTTGTTTGAATTTCATGAAGATTGTTTTGTTGAACAAATTAACTTTAAGACTTTATTATGTTTATATAACTTATTTATGATTTATGTATGTTTTTGTCGTATTCGAACAAATTAACTCTAAAGTTGCAGGTTATATTAATGAATTTTAAGTTGTTATTCTTGTTGTTTACTTTTTTATACATTCGTTTGTTGAATTCAAATAATTTTTTTTGTGTTTGTGTTGTTCGTTTATTGTGTTCGTTCGTGTTTGTTTATATTTGTTTATTATGTAAATGAACGAACATGAACAAACTATATTCCTTAATAAACGAACATGAACAAAAAAAAATTTGTTCGTTTATATTCGTTTATTTATTAAATGAATGAACATGAACATACCTTCGTTTGTGTGCGTTCGGTTCGTTTACAGGCCTAGCGTGAAGTTTACAAGTTAAATATTAGGTATCATTTCTTCAAATATTATCGATCTAGCACCCTAACAGTTAAATATTACTTGTCAGATATCATTTCTTTAAATATTATCGATCTAACACCCTTTATGACAAAGCACATATCATGAGGCACGTCTTCGTAGGGTTTTGTCCTAGTTGACGCCACGGTGGAAAAGCGTGATCATAATCCACGCATTCACGGGATTTTATCCGAGCTGGCGCCACAGTGGTAAAACGCATATCATGAAGCGCACATTTGCTAGGAATTAGACATGTGGCAGAACGCGAGGATCATAATTCGCACCTTGCATTTAAATCCCAACCATCCTGCCTTAAATACCGCCCAACCCCCTATCTCTCTCCCCTATAAATACCCTTCGTCCAACATTCATACCACACAAAAAACACTCTATTTCTTCCTTCTATATATCGTTCTATCTAGTTTTAAGTAAGTATAGTTATCGTTTTTAGAAGCTAATTTTTTTATTATATTATAATAATTTAATAGTTTATTATTTTATTATATTTTATTGTACTAATTTTTATTATTTTTATAGTTATAAAATGACAGGCGGGTTGATGCGTTTAGATGAGAATAATATATCGAGTCATTTTATTGATGTAGTAATAATGTTAAATTATATTATTTTATTTATTATGAATGTTTTATTCATTTATTTTTTAGTATTAATTTATATTTTAATTTGTATATTATTTATTTAATTAGGTGAATGACTAGATATTAGATCCATTTATTCGTAACGTTAAATTAGAGATATCGAGTCGTGTTTGGCTGTATTTAGCTGAGGTTGAATTCGGTTACATAGCGAAATATAAAGGGAACTATAACCTTGAATCCAACTTTATTTTTACACTGATTAAGAGGTGGAGATCAAAGACACACACATTTCATATTTCGTGTGGAAGTGCATTATTATGTTAGAGGATGTTTCCTTATATTTAGGGCTTTCGGTGGATGGAGATGTTATTTCTAGTGTGGCAGATGGTGATTGACATTCCTTGTGTGAGGAGTATCTTGGAGGTATCCCACCTAATTTAAACGGTGGTTGAATATCATTATCATAGTTGGCTAGAAATTTTTTACGGTTGAGCGAAAACTGTTCCGATGAACAGGCTCAAATATTTGTCCGGATTTGCATATTGTAACTTCTAGGAGGGATCTTGATGCCCAATAAATCTCGTAACCAAGTTCATTGTATGTGGTTGCGTCAACTCGTATATTTTCGAGTTGCCGGCTCATTCAGTTGGGGCTCTGTGGTTTTGGCATCTCTGTATAAAGAAATGTATCGAGCAACTGATTATCGAAAAAAATGCTATCGGCGGATGTCTCATTCTTCTGCAATCATGGGCATGGTATCACATGCCTTTTTTATTCTGATTGTGAAAACCCGTTAGTCTTCCATTTATTGTTGAGGTAATTTCAATTATGAGTTTGTATATAAATATTTTTTTAGTATATAATGAAATTTCTTTATACTGAATACGTGGTCATCTATAAGGAAAGATCATTGTGATATATCGAACTAATTTGAAGAAATTCAACTGCTCATTGATCAAAAGACTAATACAAAGGTATGTATTTAAATTTCATTAGTTACCTTTAATTATCGTTATATAATTAGAATATTATTTTGATAAGAATTATATAGGTTTGTTTTAGTTTCAATGAACTCCTTATTCTACTGAAGAAATTAGCTCATTTTTATTATTTAATTATGGATTTTTTATTTATTTTGTTTATTAATATTTTTTTTATTGTTTTTATCATTTAAACTTTTGTATTTAATGTTCGTATTTAATTATTTTTATTATTTAGTTTGTAATGATTTTATTTAATTTTTACTTGAGTAGCACATTAATTAAAAGTAAACGAAAATGAAATAACACAAACTGAGGCTTCATAAACAACAATTACATCGTCACAACATCAATGGTTACGTGATAATAAAAGAGATAGACATTTTTTCCTATTATCGCCTAGGTTTTTACAATGCCCACATCTTTTGTTTTCTTTGGACGTCTCTTGAATATTCATATAGCAATGAATTCGAGTGGATTTTGGACGACATGCCTACCTTAATAAGGACGAATCTGGTACAATCGGAAGCCAATTCTAAACCTCATATGTGTCTTTCTCATTACCTATGAGGAGAACTCAAATTTATATACATTAAATACTTCTGAAAGTCGGTATACATGATCCAAAAAATGGTTATAATCTTTACGGGTATAAGAGCAAGTTGTTATGACATGGGAGCATGAATACTTCAGAGCTTGAAAAAGCACACAGTCACACCACTTGTCTTGTAGATTAACTCTGAACGAGTTAGTTTCAATCCCCTGAAGAGGTCGTGGTATTTCTGTGACACGAAATAATTCATGGGTTCGAGAGAAGCTTATTACAGATATTCCATTTGATGCAACAATTCTTTTTTGTAGATCTGCAACTAATCTTGGGTGATACATATGGTCGTTTTGTATCCAAGTTAGAATTTTTCCCCCGAGCTTTGCAAAAAGCTCCCAAACGAAAATAAGTCATGTGCCCATATCAATATCCACTATCGTATGCATTTGTCCACATTTCTTTGTTGACGAGGTTGATGTAATTATACCCTTTCTCGTTTTTTCCTCGTAAATCTTGAAGTATGGACTCAAACGTTTGGGGTAATAGTTTGTAACCTGAGCGTCAAATGTAATACTTACTGTTAAGTTCCCATAAAAAATGAAAATGATTGAGAAATGAAATTAGACATTGTGACATACCCATGCACACAAGTAATTGACGTTCATTATTCTTCTTGAACTTTCCATGATAATTTGCAACAATGTGTCAGATACAATATTGATGTTTGACATAGGGTGGCTGCCATATTGGACCAAAAGACTTCATTTCTTCTTTGATCCCAATTATGCAATCTGAAATGACAGTTTTTTCCTACATGACAACATATAAGCGTAAGTTTTTGAGGAAAAAAACCCAAGAAACTATATACTCTCATTCAAAAAGGGCAAAAATAACTAGAAGAATGTCGCGATTACCATGTTGGACAACTTCTATAACAAAACTTTCTTGTACTTTCTATACAATAATGTCCCATCAATTTAAACCATGAGTTTGCAGTATTTCACAACATTAATGCATTATGGGTAAGTAAAAAAAACTGATAGAATTGTCATCGATCGCGAAACACTCGATCATTGTGGTATGTATGACAAGTTTCGAAGTCCACTATTGTCCTAGGATTCAGTCTTCGCACTACCCTAAACCAACTTGATAGTTCGTTGTAAGATGAATCTCATTTTCCGTGAAGTTTTTTAATGGCATTCTGCTTTGTCTTCCATGATTTCCTGTAGGATATGGTGTACCTATATTGAGACTGTATAGCTAAAATCAATAACGCAATAGCTATATGTGAGATTGCTTTGACCATGGGCATGATGGCTTAGCAGATAATGTCAAAGTCCAAGTTGGGATGATCTTAATTAATCCCTCTAACAATGTATGTATGAGGACCTTTGTATATTGTTAGTTTATATATGTTGTTTTTCATCTTTCTCTTCGATACATAAATCATCCAGTTGCATTCGTTATCACATTTGACACAATAACATACATACTTTTAGGTGGTGGATCGGTCGACTAGTGAATAGAATTATGAGTGTTGTAATTCTTAATTGCA